TGCTCGCCTTTTGAGAGCGACCCCTCCCGGTCGCGATTTCTCATCGCAGTTTTGCCAACATCGGCGTACGCTTATCAAGATAAAATTAACATCACGCTGCAGCAACTTCTACGAGAAGTGGTTGACTCATGCAACCAGTGGTCGCGCGAAGGTGTAGCTGGAGTTTTTGCGCAAGTCACCACGGTGAAGGGTGACTGGAAGTGGCTTGGGCAGGCGCTGTCGCTAGAAAGGCTTCCAACCAGAAACCAATTTTGTTTCCTTTGCGAAGGAAGCAAGGATTTGGTGAAACCATGGACAGATTTGGGGGGCGGCGCTCTGTGGCGCCATGATGTGCCCCAAGAGCCCTGGCTGGTGCGCCCAGCCCTTGCTGACTTGTTGAACTTTGATATGGGATGTGTGGGGTTGGATTTGCTGCATCTCTGGAGCCTTGGGATAGCCAGGGATGTCATCGCTAGTTGCGCGACGATCCTCCTGCGAACGCGTTTCTTTCAAGGCTCGACTGTGTCCTGGATTGGCTTCAATAATATCTTGTTGGTGGTAGACGTTGCTATATATTTGTTTACTGTAGTTGGTGGCTGTGTGTTCCTTCCTGCCTGAGATGTTAAGGTGGAATTGCGCATGAAATCCGCTGGCCAGCTGGCTGTTGAGTTTGCAAAGCAGCACACGAAGTACCGCTTGCCAGCCAAGTTTCACTTCTCAAAAGCAAGGCTGAGGCTCAAAGGTGGGAAGTATTGCCACTACACAGGTAAAGGCTGGCAAGCAACCGTTCTCATGCAATGGCTCGGCTGGCTTGTTGCTAGCCATGAGGATTTGCCGCTCGATGACAACATCAAATGTTTGATCTGGACGGGCAACAACTTCATTGGGATGCTCTATGAGTCAAAAGGCTCCAATGGGCACTTTTTGACGGAACAGCAGGCCAAGCAAATCCAAGCCATTGGAGGAGTCTTCGTCACGACGTACTTGAACCTCAATCGTGCCTATCAAGGGTGGTGCACCTACAAGCTGTGGAATTGTAGGCCAAAACTACATCTCCTGGTGCACTTGCTGGATGGCGTTGCTAAATTGAAAAACCCGCTGGCAGGTGTGACCTGGCTAGACGAAGGGTGGTTGAAGACTATCATGGCAATTGCGAGAAAAACGCACGTTAAGTGCACTCAATCGTCGACACTGAAGCGCTACTTGGCAGGCGTCCCTGCAGAGCAGCTTTAAACCCATGATGGTTGTGTGGCCCATGCAGGCTTGAAGCAAGTAATGCGTGAAGCTTCAGCTGAGATGAAGAGGTGTTGGGTTTGCGACTGCAGGGTGTATACATGTGGGTCATGAGCATGAGCATGAGCACACGCTAACATGCATGAGCATGAGCATGGGCATACGTTAACATGCATGAGCGTGCGCATATGTCTTCTAACGTTAAGCATGACATTTTGAGTCACGTCATGCGTGTGCATATGCATCATCGTAACCGTATGTATATATATACATATATATATAACGCGAATTTGTTTTTGGGTCATTGGCGTGCCATGTGTGGTTACACGCCATATGTCGCGCGGAGGGCGTACGCGCGTGTTGCCCTTGATGTGTGTTGGGGGTTGCCTGTGCTGCCAGGAGTCCTGCTGACGGGTTTGCGAGCTGATTGTCTGACGTGAGAGTGAAAAAGAATGAATGGGGCCAAATGGGATCTGGAGCGGTTGAGCGGTATATAGTGGTGTGTTTTGCTTTGCGAACGGTTGTGTGAAGTTTTGTTTCTTTTGAAGAAGTCCCCACAGGAAAGGGTTTTCAAGTTGATTTGGCATATCTGGGGGTTTTCGTGTGTATATGACGGTCTGGGTGTGAGCGCTGCACGCTCCCGCGAGAAGGCGAACGCGCGCTGCGCTGCTGCCACCGACATCGGCTTGTCCCACAAGCTGTGCTTGTCGAGGCTCACTGCCCGCTGCACCTCGGGCTTGGCCGCGTCCACTGCGGCGGTGATGGCGGCTGGAGTTGCCAGTTCCCAGGCATCAAATTCGCCCAACCTGGCGACAAGTCCCAGCGACAGATGTTTGAGCCTCATGCTAACGAGATCGCGGCTCCCTGCATAGTGTGTCGGCATCGCAGCTTCCTGAGGTAGCTCACTCTTGGATTGCCAATCCCCCAAGGCCACCATCTCAACCGGGGTGTACTTGGCCAGCAACGCCACCGTGTGCATGAGCCGGCGCCATGAGTAGGTGGAGAGGTCGGCCACGTCGGTCACAAGGTCCTGGAACAGCTCACGACCTGCGGCTTGCACCTCAGAGATGTCCCACGCGCGGCCCTCCCGATTGAAGCAGAGGCCGCCTGAATCTCGTTGGGCCTCGGGCAACTGGTTCCGAAGGGCCACCACATGCTCTGCCCAGGGCCAGCCATCTGTGAACTGCGATGGAGAAATCGAAGCCATCACGTTTGCTCGCCTGCTTCCCTTTGGGGCAATGGCAGTACAGCGTCGAGCGGGACAATCGCACCATCTGAGCACGTTGGACATGCCGGTAGCGTAGTACCCCTACGCCAACGATCCAACTCCCCAACATCGCAGTCCAGCGAGGGTCCTGTCGGGTGAAGGCCTCCTTGACGCCACGCTCCAAGTGAGTAAGCATGGGCGGCTCGACAACGAGAGCCTGGGATCGCGCAGCTGCCCGCCGTGAGGCAGGTGGATCCAGCACGATCGCATCCAACTGCCACCCCAAATGCCCCAGTTTATTCAACCAGCGAAGCGAGTTCAATGCCCGCTTGGGTCCTTTGGAGCCGGAGGCCAGGAATGACGCCAAATCCAAATGCTCGATCGTAGTCCTGTCTCGAGAGCGCATAAAGCTGACCAATTCCGACCACGTGCGCGCAGCGTTCACCACTGTCTGAGGTTCAGATTTGGTCACTTTGACCTGCGCCAATCGAGTGAGTTGCAGTTTCCACTCCGCTAGGATCGCATCTGAGAGGTTCCCCACGGAAGGGCGATGAATCCCGGCGTCCTCAAACACCTTGGCCAGCGCTTCCACTCGCCTGTTCACACTGTCAGCACTGAAGGCTTGTTGAGAAAGGGTCACTCCCTTCTGAACAGGCACTGGAGGAGCGGGTAGGTGAAGAGCAGGTGCCGGCCTGTCGCGACTCGAGCCAGCTTCCACTGTAGAGGCCGCCAACGGCATCAGCTCCTCAGTCTGCTCGGAGCGGGCCTTGGTCCAAGCATCGGCCAATCCCCGGCCCCCGGCCAGCAAGGCCTCTTCCGCTGATCGAAAGGCGAAGGCAAAGTCCGCGTCGTCCAAGAGGTGGTATTGCTCCCTGAACTCGCGAACACGGGCTGCTTGGGCCACTTCAGACGAGGTCTCCGGGTCCCACCTGGAGCTCCCCGCTGACTCGACCGCATAACGCCCCCTGTCAGCCATGAGCCCTGCAAGGACTATCGCACTAGTCTGAGCCAGAACTGTCGATGCACAACGGGCACTGCCGTGACCAGAAGTTGCAGCTTTCACAAACGATCGATCGACAGACTCGACAAGACTCGAACGTGGGCAGGCGACAAAGGAGGCGGAGGGGGGGGGATGTACTCAACGTCATAGGCCACGGCCCCGAGGATCGCACGGATGGATCGGCCTGCATTCGCGACTTCCCGGGGGATACCTGGGGTCCCAACCAGGGACGACCATGGTTCCCGCCATGGCCGCCGCCCCTGCTGCCAAAGCCGAACCAGCTCGAAGAACTCCTCGGTGTCGATGCCATCGTCCCCGTCGTCCAGCCGCTCCACGGCCAAACCAACGTGGACCGGCAAGATGTCCAACGGGCCCAGGTCGAATGCAATCCACTGCAGCGCCAGGCGGTCCAAGCGCGCCGCAGAGGCATGGTAGCGCTGCCACGCGACCGCTGGCCCAAGTCCCTCTTGAACCAGCAAGCAGCGGCGGTTCCATACGCCCACCCATGGGAACTGGAAGCCGCCCCGACGGTCGGTGCACCTCGCACACGGAATGGTGGTACATACGAACCGACGAACCGGGGGGAACCCAGCGATGGAGAGGGGTTGCCCTGGAGACCCCAGATGCACCAACTCCACCACGGAGGCCCAGAGGCGCAAAGCTTCCCGCTCGCGTCCCTCAGCAACCAGCTCCTGAAGGTGGGCGCTGAACTCCATCCACGCGGCGGCATGGATCACCTGGTACCTGGTGTAGGCAGCAAGGCTTGTTCCCAACTCGCTCATGGGAAAACAGGGTCCCTCCCTGCACAAAAAAGAACTGTCTCTCCAAGGGTTCCGCCCTCAAAAAGAGAGAACAAACGCTATTTTGGCCAAGTCACTTGAGCCAAAACATTCGTTGGTTCAAACCTATGGCAGTAATGAATACATGTTCACCCAAGCCTGCCAGACCTGAAACATGTTTATATATATACCTCATACTCCGATCCGCTGGGTGTATTTTGATCCCTACCTTCACCCCGATCCAAGCGGATCCACATGCTGGCCAAACCGTCCAAGGCGCGTGGGGCGGAAGCCGACGATTTCCACCCGCTCGGTGGCACCGGTCGAAGGCAGGAGAACTTCGAAGGCCAGCGGCTCCACGGTGACAGGCTGGCTTGCTGGTGGCGGTATGTGGCGGTATACGAATGTGTATCATGTATAATGGTATACACCATATGGTGTATATATATATATTGTTCTTTCCATGTGGAGATATGAGGTGTTTCGTGGTCTTTCTATTTGTTTTTTCCCAATGGGGGTGCGGGGCAATGGGCGGCAACAAGCATAGCACTTCATAAAACACCACTGGGTCGCAAAAGACATGGCCCTTTCACCGGGCCTTGGCGGCCTTCCCTTTTTCTGAACACCGCAGCCATCCTTCAAAGCAAAAAACAGATCTCATACGGCAACATCATAACATCTGTGTAACAGTGTAACATCTGTGTTCCACTCTTTTCGACACACAAAGAACATGCAAACCTTCCACACTTCTTCCACACTCTCGCAGTCTCAGACTCGCCGAGCCGCTGCGCCCTCCACCCGCCTGGGCGGACTCGTCTGCATTGCGGGACTGCAGCCGCAGCACCTCTTCGATCTGTCGGTTGCAATCGGACAGCTTCCTTAGATTTCAGGCTCAAAACATTTTAGGCCTGGAACATATGAACATATGAGAGCCCAATGGCTGGAAAGGAAAGATGGGAGGACGGAACAAAGGAATACAAAAGACATCAAAAGACACAAAAAGCTAGCAGGGGGAATTCCCCTGCTAGTCACACCCGCCAGCTTTGGAAACCAGTCGGCGACTGGTTTTCAAGAGTTTTCCAGGAAGAACAACAAAACGAGGCTGCCAAGCTCTGCATCGACAAGGGTCTCATAGCTCTCCTTCCAATCCACCTGTCTGAGGTGCATAGACATGCACACAACGTATAGATCAACTTATATACCAGGAGTCACAAGGGGGTGGCGCTTCGCTTAGTCGCATCCAGTGAGTGGATGTGACAAGGGCACCCCTATATATCCTCCATGAATAGCACTCCTTTGGAACCTTTGGCAATACAGCATTATCAATTAATGCCTGCCACACTGACCGGAAGGGCATCCTAGGTCCTAGGCTGATCTACACTGGTGTCAAGTCATTCAAACTGCCAAAGGAAAGGATGCAATGGTATGTCATCAGTTTAAAGCTACAAAATGAGCATGCGTAAACGTACACTGCAGCATATCCCATGGGTACACCCTGGAATGATTAGACTGAACTTGGAAGAACTGCAGATTTGGGGTTGATGAACAACAATATCAAGTATATATTTAAGTATCAGTGTGTGTTGCCCACCAAAAAACACAAACACACAACCGCTTAATATTCTGTAACGGTTTCTAAAACAAGGCGGAACATCGAATAATAATATAGAGACAATAGGCAATTTCGACCTGGATTTGTCAGCCATGGAGGTTTCGTAGGTCCGAGTCCTCCACTATCTTCCACTGCTAACTGATATATGGTTGATGACTTGGTGTGTTGCTTGTTCAAACATGTCCAAGTAACAACTAATATTAATCCACAATCTTATTCCTCACTCATCCTCCCTCCAAACAATGCAAACATACATGTTGTTTAGCTCCAAACCACTCCACCCATTCAGAACCTGTGTTCGTCTCTCATCTCCACTGCTGTCAACCCTCAAACCACCCCACCAGGTGCAGCTTCTCCCACCCCCCTCCACTCACCGGGTCGCCTCGCATACCTCTGGCAGTTCCACCTCCTCCCCCCAGCTGCTCCAGCAGCAGCTCGTTCCGTCGCAGCTCGGCGTCATAGGCCTCGCGCCAGGGGTCCTCAGTGGCCTTCCGCCAGCTTCGCAGCTGAGCGGGTCGTCGTCGCAAAGCCACGAACGTGAGGTGAGCTGAGAGCAGGAGGACCAGCAAAGATGCCGGTCGTGCCATGGCGGTGTGGGAGAAGGTGCGCCTAAGGCGCCGGTGTGTGCACACGACCTGAAGCTTCCTTCGCTACAAAAAACAGGTGCTACACATAAGGTTCATGCAGGGCAAGAACCGCCCACGCAGCTTGTCCTACCTACTATGCTTGTGAACCCGAACTCAACACACAGAGCCAAAGCCAAAATCCTTGAAAAAATAACAAAAAAAAACAGGAAAAACAAATCCATACTCAGGAGAACAGGTCTACCTAGGACAGGACTCAAAAAAAAAACAAAACAAAACTCAAATCCAGACTCAAACCCAGACTCAAATCCAGACTCAAAAAAAAACAGACTGACTCAAATCCAGACTCAAAGTCTCTGTTGCTGAGTCCGGATTTGTGTTTTTTTCCCTCCGTTCAACCTTCTGCTACTTGAGTCTCCAGTTGAGTGTGTTTTTGTGTTTGGTCTTGAGTTCTGGTTTTGGGCTGAGTCTAGGTTTGTTTTTTGTGTTTGTTTTTACGTTGATTATTTTGTGTGTTTTGAATTTTTCATCTCGAACCTCTTCTGTGTGTGCGTGTTTGGGTCACAATACTATGCGCCTCACCACTTCACCCTGATAAGAATTAACATCTGAATGAGCAGTCCCAGACTGGGAGATCGTCTATCTCTGATGTTCATCCGACCGGAATCTGCAGACCTCCCAACCGCCACACCCCTGACCACGCCGTCAAAACGACGCCGAGAACAACGAAGCCCGACGCCCCGCACCGCTTCGTCGATGGGCCAACGGCCATCCAGCTCCCAAAGTCTGGCCAGGCGAGTCACTGGGGTTGTCACCGGGGTTGTCATGCTGCGAAACGGGACGAACATGGTTTCGCGAAAAGAACCCATTTTGACTATTGACCTATGCTTCGGCAGGAAGATGTGTCTTGGTACATGTATGTTAAAATATGTTAAAATCATGTGAAGTCTTTATGATACTTGCGGGGTGTGGTGTAGAATTTAGGGCGCAAAACAGTGGAGTGCTGTCGGATCAGGGAAACCAATTGACTCAACAGTACGAAAAGAATCTATTGGCGCAGGATGCTGCACATGAGCCGAATGGCAGTGTCCTTTCTTGCAGCCCCGTAGGCAGGTTTTCCAGATTTCCTGGGGAACATCTTCGACTGAGGCGCCTTTCTAGGGGCCAAAGACAACATACCAAAATCGTTCTTCTTGGACGTTTGCTGGAAAGACATCTTGGTACTAACCCATCTGTTGGATTTCTGGCATGTTCTCTGTTGTATTATCAAACCTCGGTCGCACGCGCATGCACACACACACTCTGACATTGGTTTTCAGTTAACTCAATTGCCACGTTGGGAAGGAAGGTGAAGAACGGTAAGGTGAAGAGTCCGCAAAACTTGTAGATGTTTGAACAAAATGGTTTGAAGTCTGCAGATAGCACGAAAACGAAACGCTCACGAAAACGCGCGGCTCAGTTGCAAGAACGCGGTGGGAAGGTTTAGGGGGAGTATCATGAAGAACCATGAAAACAAACAAGGTCAATTGGACAGCTTGTTCAACCGTTAAAGCAGGTACACATCCATGGCCAGTGGATGCTTCCCTCTCTGATGCCTAGCTTCGTTGGACAGAGTAGCATCAGAGAGCTCTGTCCCCCTGCTTTAAATTAAAATTAGACCCTTGGAAACAGGGTTTGACACACACACGGTGCCGCTTCGCGGCGCGCATGTGAAAGACCTGAATAGTCACCTAAAAAGCCTTAGAAACAAAAGAAAAGAAAGACAGAAAGAGCAGCGCTAAGAGGGCAAGAAAGAAAGGTAGGTGTAGAAAAGTGAATACTTAGCCCTTGACTGGGGTAGGGAAACGAGCCTCAAGAGCAACCTAAAAAGCCTGAAAGAAAGCCCAACAAACGACGAAAAGCGCAAGAAGGAAAGCGGGGGGGCAGGGAGGGGCTGTATGTCCATGTGTGTGTACATGTGTGTGTCTGAATACCTAGCACTCTAGAGTTACCGATTACTTAGCAGAGATGAATTAAGTGCAGTAGCTAGGGAGCGGGACTTTAGTCTTAGACCGCCCGGGTAGGATAGACTAGAACAGGAACAACACAGGGAAAGGCACCGACACACAAGTGTGTCGAGTACCATTTCCCTATGTTGCCCTAAATAGGTAGGGAGTAGAACTCGGCTGGGGGGGGGGGG